GATGTTGATATGTTTATCATTGAACACACTTGAGGCAGTTCATGACAACGTGTATGTAACAAACACAACATACAGAGTATATAGAACTTTATAATTCATTATATTGTTAAACTAGCTTGGTTTTCTTCCAAATCTGCACCTATAGCTTATCGGCCTATGTATATGTGGGTAGCTTCTATCATCTCTCTCATTCCAGAAGCTTTGACGCAGAGAAAATAGAGCAGAAGTACTCTATTCTATTCCACTACCTTCTTCTTCTCCATATGTAGAGAGAGGACACTTGTTCCAGTGATACAATATTGACACAAAACACAAAGCCGTTAAAAACTATAAAATAAAGATCAAAACAAGCTGTGGATTTGGCAGCATAAAATTTTAATAATATTATGAAAAAAACAAAACTATAAATAAATTAAATATGAAGAACAAGTAACAACATAAATTTAATACAAATTAAATGAATTATAAATAAATAAATTCTCTCACCCTTATTCCAGCGATGCAATATTGACACAAAACATAAAGCCACTCACCTGTTCTTCTTGCTTCTTTCTTACTTTGCTGTAAGATCACTTGTTCAAAAATCGTTAAAAGCTCGAAGCGGCAACTTAAGAGTGTTAAAAGTACTCAGTGCTGCCTGTATTCTAATAAAGCCAATTCTCTCAATCTCTATCAGTCTCTTTAATTTAACCAAACTGTAGACAAGCACGATGAATGAAAAAAGAAGACAGTGAGAGAGTGATGGAGAGATGATTAATTAGGTTAAGGATTGATTACGACAATAATTAGGTTTAATTTACTTATTTTTTTCCTTTTTTTAAATGCTAACGATGTAAAAATCTGTTAAGGAGAGTTAATTGATGAGTTGGACAAATCATCCAAGTGGCATCAATTTAATGGAAGAAAGTATATTAAGGACCTAACCTTAAGTATATAAGTTTTGCCCATAATTTTTCAATAATATATGTTGATTAAAATTTAATGTTGAGTATTAATATTACATTAAAGATTATATACATTTAATTAGAATTAACGTAGCTATTTGCAATGTGCGACAAGCCAGAGGAGCGTGTCATCAAAAAGTGTAAAATACCTGACTTCTAAATCAAATGGTAGGTTTCTGGGGACCTTGACCACAATTTCCCTATATGCAAGTGCTTAGAAGTAAAAAAAAATGAAAAAATAAATATGGAAAACATGTGAGATTGGCATGGTGAGAGCAAACATGATATTGATAATAATAAAAAAGAAATTGCAATAAACATAAGACAAAAAAATTAAGAGAAAAGCACTAATGCACTATGATTATTGTTTTGTTAGGAGCTAATGCTTTACTTCTTATTAGAGAACTCATTTTTCTTTGTTGAATGCGTGGAAAAAACTGTGTCAAATTTGCTTAAGGATAAAGTGTCTGGTTGAATTAGACTAAGTATTAAAGCATTTCACTTTTTGATTGATTATAGCTGTCAAAAATGTTGGAGAGATCTCCATGATGATAAAAGGAGTTGCGTTGGGTGTAGCTTAGGGTGATGCAAGGCCAATGTTTGAATTTTTTACCAAGCAAGTGGATTTTGAAATTGAGTTGTTGAAGTATCTAGAGAGAGATCGCGTATGTACGGTGGCTCCATCCTTTTATTGGAACAAAATAATAGTTTTCTTTATAGTCAATAATTCAGGTCAAGCTCGACGGACTAGCCCAAACTCGTCCGAAAAACGTTAGGGTCGGGCTTAGAAAAATTATGATATTTTTATGTTCGAGTCTATTCGGGTGAGAAAATTCAGGCCAATATCGATTGGGTTTAGACTTGGCTCAAATACCTGAATAATTTTTTTTATTTTTACAAAATATATAAAAAATGATAAATACTAATTAATTATTTAAGTTTTACATCATTTTATATTAAAATACCATATATTTGAGTCTCATACATCATTTAAGCATCAAAACAATATATTTTATATTTTTTGTAAATAAAATAATTAATTTTAAAGTAAAAAATTTAATTAAAAATGATTTTAAAAATAAAATTCGGATATTTGGGCTACCCGAAGTCCAAAAGAATTCAGGCCGGATTTAACTATTTAGGCTTTTTGAGAGAGCCTATTTGGGTCGAGCAAGCTCAGCTTGTCAAAATTTCTAACTCTAGTTTTCTCCATGATTCCATGCACTACTTTCTTAAGCTTATCATGTGTAGTTTCTTTAAAAACTTCCTCCACTTTCATTTTATATGAAAGGTGCGTGGGATGACGGAATCTCCCTCTCAACCACTTCTCTTCTAGAAACTTGAAGCAAGGCTTAAGTCACAAATTAAATTTTAACCCAAATAATTAAATTTCAGCTAAAAATCATATTTTAATCCTAATAGTAACTTCTTTTGCAGACACACAAGTGAAGTTTATTATTTTTTTTAGCAAATGAGATTTTGTTTTTTTTAAATCTGATTTTATATGGTTAGTGTTAATATGCAATGATCTATTAACTTCAACTTCACTTATTCATTTTTAGTGGATTTTGAATTTTAATTAATTTATTCGTAATATATTAACTGAGATATTCATTAAGAAATGAAAATAAACCAGGATTGACTCATTTTATGCCTCTGTTTGTACATCAAAACACTGTATCGGATGCTCTTTGATTTTTTTTCCCCCTAACTTTTTCAGCTAAGATTAACAATAATTTCAATCTATAATAATAATGTTAGTAATATGTTTTAAAATTTTAAACTCATATATTTTTAATTTTAAATAAGAACCATATTTTATTATTAAAATTTTAATAATTTAATATTCGAAACTGTAATTAATGATCTGATAAAATTCTTAATTGCAATCCAATGCTGGGAAGTTCATTGTTGTTCGCGGAGTGGACACATTGGGTTGAATGAATTATATTATATACTCCTCCGTTTAAAAAATGTCATATGTTTACATATTAAAAAATATAAAATATTTTTAATATTTTGATGTATAATTAATATATTTTTATTAAAAATATTTTTAATAAATAAATTACTTTATCTTTATTTTAAATTTAAATAAAACATTTTATTAAAATGAGATAAGTATAAAAAATGATATTAATTTAATGATAAATAATTATTTTATTGAAATGTAAATTTTTTTTTTAATCAAAGAATATATTTTTAATATGACACATCAGCAACAGCACATATCTCCCACTCCACTTATCACCACCGAATGCAGTATTTCAAACTGATCGTTAAGGTCCAAACTCAACACCTTAATCCAAATCATAGTTCCACGGGATAGCTGTTTAACCACTTCTCCATCTCCTTCAACCCAGTATTACTCCATCTGCAATCCCATCTCAGAAATGATCAAACGAAACTACGAAAGCCTCGTCACTCGTCAGTTTCGTAGCTCACCCTCGCAAAAACCATTTTCATCGTCATCATAGCTATTCCCAACATCATCACCACTACGAAACAGGTCAACAAAAGAATAGGAATCCTTCGGACTCGCAGTGTAATCACCGACAAGTTCCTCACTACCTTCGTCTTCGGACTCATCGACAGAAAGACGGACCAACATCTGGGTAACGGATAGCCCGGAAGAGCGAGACCGGGTCGGGCATCAACAACCCGCCAAGAGGCGAGGCGAGCGCTCCAAGAGACGTCGGAGGATTTGAGCTTGTGGGTGCCTTTCGCCTTGTGCCTGGACTTGGAGGAGGGGAGAACATGGCAGGCGTTGTGGCCGGGGACGGCGCACTTGCCGGTGAAGTTGGAGTGCTTGGTGGGTTTACAGGGAACCTTGGCTAACAGGCCGGCTGTGGGAGGTGAGTCGAAGCGGTTCAGGAATAGGGTGTTGGGTTGGGTATTGAGGGTTGGCGATAGGATCTGGTAAAGACCTGGCCATTCCACGATGGCGAATGTGGGTTGCTTTATATATAACCATAGGTACATTAATGGAAACTTGGGAAGCAAGGTGCTTAATTTAATTTGCTGTAACATTGGTCTTCGCCAATGGTAAGTGTCCACCGAGCAAACTATTAGCATACACTACAAAAATAAGACATAATAATTCCATAGCTCTTTTTTCATTACACCTGCACTTCATAGATTATTGGAAAAATATAACATTTAGCCTTCATGTTTTATCGGATTTTGTCTTTAATCCTTACAAATTTTTCAGTAATTTTAGTCTTTACAAAAACTAAAAGCACTGAAAATATTAAAATTATAAAGACTTGAAAAACAAACATCACTTAATCCTTTTAAAATTATATAGAATGAAAACACACAAAAAAAAAAAAACCGTAAAGACTAAAACTAAAATTTGATGAAACCATTGGAACTGTTAATTATGTTTTTTTTAAATTATTTGTTGATCTAGTTCTATTTTATAAGATTTCAGTTATTAATTCTCAATACAATTTTGTTTTTAAAAAAAATCACTCTCCGTGAAAAACCTTTAACCCCAGTGACTCTTTATTAAAATTTAATAAGTTTTTATGATCTACCTTCTAATAAAAGATAAAAAAAATTATTTTTAATATTTTTTTCTAACATTTAATGAGAATAAAAGGTAATCATGAATGTAAAAAATATTTTTTTAACAAAAGAACATAAAAAATAATAAAATATTCTATAAATATGATCGAAATTAATCATCTCGCTCAACCTTAGAAATGGGATAAGAGGAATAATGAGTATTACCAACCATTTTCAAAGACACCCTTGTTGTTACTCTTGGTTTAATTAGGCTTTTCAATATTTCTATCTTCTTTTATGAGAGAAGTCATAACTACTTAACTAGACATGTGGCTTATGTATACAGACCTTGAAAATAAGTTTCAGAATTTACAATTTATGAATTTTAGCCAAAACAAAAACTTAGGACTGAGAAAGAATTGTGATATATTAATCGAGTCTTTATTTAATACATCAATGATACTGACATTGATCATGTTATTGTCTGAGAAGCATTACACTTAGAGAATGAACAAATGGATGGGGAGATGGTTAGAGGCAGCGACCAAATCTAAATTTCCCATGAAATTGTGCATACCAAGACCACTACTGCCTCCTTCAATAATATTTGTTTGCTTCATTGAGCGAATTAAAGAGGAACCAAAAATAAATGCAAATATAAATAAAAACTTAACACGGAACAAATATATACACAACATTCATTCTCAAGAGGAGACTGAAATGTATAGTTCTGCTTCTGTATGGAATTTAAAAACTCATCCAAGGAAGGTTGACACGATCATTACGAAGTAAATCACGCTTCACATATTCTCTGTCGCTGTTATTGGTTCAACACAACGTCGCACAAGATGCTCTTTGATTTCATCCTCAGGTTCCACAGGAGCTGCTGATTGTGAAGCTTTCTTGGCAGGATAAAACACGTAGTGTTGACATATGAAAAATATGTCAAAGGATACACTCACCTGCAATTCTCAATTTTGTTCAAAACCCAATCCATATTAGTTTACTTAAACCCAACCAAAGTTTCACTGTTAATTAGAGTTTGAGATTTTTCTATACCAAAGACAGCATCAATTTTCCTACATTCCCATAGAAGTTGACCCAAGAACCTGAAAAATTAATGAAAAACATTATTTTACAACATGTTAATCTAATGGTTTGCCCTAAAATCTGAACCCTTAGTGGCTTATCAACAGAGGAAATCACGTACCTTGATCAATGGACTGCACAACCATCTGTCCATAGTTTGATATGCCTCCAGAAAAATCAAGCAGAATGTTGCCAATGCTGAAGCCGTCAGTACTTTTTCTCATGAAGTTCATGATTCCCTATATTCATTCACAACGCAACTTATTAACACCCAATGAATAGGTAATAAAGAAATGAAAAGGGAAATGAAACAGGACAAGAAATAAACTAACCTGAGGAACATATTTTATGATTGTCATAAATACTTGAATTGTGCTGCAACATCATCAATTTTAATACTAAGTTAGGAAGGGCCAAATTCTTATTGGTCCATCATGAGCATGGAACATTGAAAAGTGAAAACAAGTCAACGTAGGAATGTTCATCAATCATCACGCCTGTTGGCCCCACGTTATAAGCCAACGCATGATAGCATTGTTTGTTTGGTCCTATGTAGATTGGCAACAAAGTATTTAAGGATTAACAACAGTGAATCAACGGAAAATGAAGCGTAATCTTTCTGCATAGAAGCACAGAAATGCAAATAATTATAAAGAAGAGTTAACATACTTGAAGATGGAGACAAGCCAAAGCCAAGAGTGTGTCGGTAAAGCCATGAAGAAACAAACCGGAGCAGTAAGCAATACCACAGAGACAATTCCAAAGGCAAGCTTGGAGATTTTCTGAGTTCCACGCTATACGAACAAGTCACGACGTTCAGGGCAACTCAGAATGTAACGAGTAAAACAAAAACAAAAATAGTAAGTCTCATTACTTACTTCATAGATCATAATTTGAAACAAGGTAATTGCCGAGAGTAGCACAGCATGGGCGGAGAAAGCAACATCATTTGCCGCCACAGGTATCATCTAAAATCAAAAGACATAAATATAAAATATCATCGTGATGTCAAATCCTTTGCATGTGTACGAGGTTTCATCAACCTGAAGATAGAACATTCTAATGCAAATGAAAGTAGCAACAACCTCAACATCACCACTTAATCCAAAGACAATGCTAAACTGACCACCTACCTACTTTGACCATTGTCCCAGAAACAAGGCTGAGTAATCCTGTTTTGAATTTATAAACTCTAAAAAGACCAGCTAGCTACGCTTAAAATTCCATTAAATTTAGACTTAAAAAGTAATTCCATTTAGAAAACCTCAGTAGAATTTGCCCAGAACAGGAATACAAAAAGGAGAATGGCATTAAAGTCCTAAAAAATTAAATTAATGATAGTCATTTTAAAAAATAATTAAAAATAAAATTAAAGTAATTATAAATTTAGGAATTTCAGTTACAGATAAAATTTGAAATGTAATTTTCATATTGTAACTTAATTCCTATTTATAATTTCTTCAATTGGTATTTATAATTTTTTAAAAAATTATTAAAAATGTAAGTATCCTTAATTGATTTTTTTGAAACTTAATTGCTATGGAATAGAAAACCAATGCTCTAGCCCAAAACAAAAGCATCCACATTTGGTGTTTATCATCACAATGATGAATACCGAGTGCTCATCAGAACCAGGAGCTCTCCATTTCAACTTAAAATGATCTCTACTGTTTTTTTAAATTGATTTTTAAATATTTTTAATATTATGTTATATTTATTAAAATAAAAAAATTTATTATTAAATTTAAACTATTTAAAGTATATTTAAATGGTTAATTTATAAAATTTATAAATTTTTTAATATTAAATTAAGTTATTTAAATTATATTTGAATCGTCTAAACTCTAAAGTTTGTTTAGATAGTTAAATTGTAAAATTTTAAATTTTTTTATATTTTAATGTTAACAAAATATAATATTAAAAAATTTTAAAAATTAATTTAAATGAACGACGGAGATTGCAAAGAACGCGAGCGCACACACCGAGGAAACAGAAAACAGAATCTAAAAACTTAAGCTAAGATAATTTGCTCTAAATTTATATTGATTACTCCGATGATAATCAGGAGTCCGCACCATCATTCAGTGTGGATTCTCTATTCAGGAACTTGGATCAAAGTAGATAGAACCCACCTCTCCAGAACCGTATTCCTCAAAATACTGCTTCTGAACAGCAGAACTGAAGTACACACAGGCGTTGTAGATGAGATAGGAAGAGTGCTTCGTCAGATTCAACAAGGCAAAATCAAAGTTGAGCCCCACAACACTGAGACAACAACCCAAGAGAGTTATACATAACCGAGGCTGTTGAGGAGAAAAGAATTACCAAAACCGAAACTATGTTGTGCAGAATTACCTTTTCCTGCGAAAATTCAAGATGACTTGAGGGTAGAAACTGATCGACCAGCAGGCGAAAGCGAACCAACCCAGTAATTGGTATGCGACTTCCAGCGGACCTGAATTCCAGGAAGCCATGTCCGGCGCTGCTCTTTCCCCCTCCTCGCCGGAGAAGAAGCGGAAGAATGTCTCAGGTATAAATCTCCGTCGACCCAGCTCAGGACTTGGTGCTCACGTGCACGGCTTGCTCTCCTACTTAGGTATGTGTTGAATGCCTTGCTTGGCAGTTGGCACTGACGAAGAAAAACAAGGGCCTTCAGCAAACTCCACTAAACGTCATTTCCACCTATCAGTCAGACACTCAGAGTCACCAAAGCAAGAAGATGACGACTCCCCTTTTAATGAGCCAAGCAACGGTAGATTCAACTACGGTTAAATGGCAAAAATAGATTGAAACTTCCTTTTTCATGGATATCTAACATTTTAAACTTTTTTTAAAATATTTTTATTTTGAAAGTTTAAAAAATAAAGTATTTTTGTCTCACCATTAAAAATTCTTAATAATGTCCATTAAGGTTTGACAGGCTATTTTACAATTTTGCCCTATTTTATTTCTACATTTTTCAGTCCTCATTTTCATTCCTTTGAAGAAGGAAAGTTAAAGAATCCATTGGAGAATGAAACTAAACACAGAAGGAGGAGGAAAAAAATACATAAATATCCTTGGTTAAATTTTAGTATAACAGTCAATGTTATAAATTTTTAACGGTGGAGCAAAAATGCTCTGTTTTTTAAAATTTCAGGCCAAAAATGCTCCCAAAAAAATTTAAAATGCCAGGTGCTCCTGGAGAAAAAGTCTAAGGTATTTTTGCACTTTAATCCATGCAACTGTTCTCAATCTTCAGCTACTACCATCCTATGCCTAATCAACAACATTCCTGATTTTCATGATAAAAAAAAAAAACTATGAGCAAGGAGATGATGACTCCATTTTTAATGACCAAACACAACGGTAGATTCAACTAGGATTAAATGGCAAAAATAACTTGAAACTTTTACTCCATGGGTGTCTGACATTCTGAAATTTTTTTTAGAGCATTTTTCCCTAATGTCAAAAATCTCTAGTATTGATCACTAACTGAAATTTGACCAGGGTATTTTATGATTTTGCTCTCCTTCGTTTTTGCTTTTTCTAGTCTTGTTTTCATTCGTTGGAAGAAGGAAAGTTAAAGAATCCACTAGAGAATGAAATTGGAGGCTAAACACAGAAGGAAGAAGGGACAAATACATAAATATCCTTGGTCAAGCTTTAGTATAATGGTTAACGTTAAGGATTTTTAACAATGGGGTGAAAATGCTCTGTTTTTTAAATTTTCAAGGCAAAAATGCTCCAAAAAAAGTTTAAAATATTAGGCGCTCTTAGAGAAAAAATTCAAGGCATTTTTCCCTTTAATTATTCTTAATCTTCAGCTACTACCATCCCATACCTTATCAACAATGTTCCTAATTTTCTTGAAAAACACACAAAAAAAAGTTGAACACTATGACAAGCAATTTAGATATGAAAGAATATTGTGGGTATATTATTAAGCTGAAGAGTACATTATATACATCAAGAAATGAGTAACCTAATAATGACTAATAATTACATAATAATATCAAATAATATCTTTTAATAAAAATTGAGATATATACACAATAATGATAGAATATTTAGAGAATATACTAGATAATATCCCCCTTAAGCTCAAGATGGCTTAATAGAGAGTAACTTGAGTTTGTCCAGCATGAATTGAAAGTAGCCTTTATGAAAAAACTTTACAAACAAATTAGTCGATTGATGCTTTGTTTGAATTACAACAAGTCATATGGTACTTCAAACAATATGCTGTCGAGTAAAGTGACAATCAATATCAATAGGCGCTGGTCTACTCAAGAAACATATAATTGTGAACAATCTTGATCACAACTTAACTGTCACCATAAATATTTGTGGAAGAACCCTGGGATGCTTCCAGCTCATCAAGTAACTAGTGAAGCCCAAGTCTCTCAACGGTTATGTCTGCTAGTACATGATATCCTGATTTAGCACTAAAGTGAGAGGCTTACGTCTGTTTGTTGCTTCTCCAAGAGATAAGGGAATGACCAAGGAAGGCACAGAAACCAATCACAGATCGTGAATCATCATGATCACTGATCTAATCAGCATCAGAGCAAGCTTACAATGTAAGAGAAGAGCTAATTGAGAAGTAAAGCCCTTGATATAGAGTGCCTTTGGTATAACAAATGATCCAAAAAAAACTATTGAATAATGAGTATTTTAGGGATTTGACATAAGCTAGCTAACAATATGAATTGCATAAACAATGTTAGGATGAGTCATAGTAAGATAGATAAGGCCCCAACCAATTGACGATAACAGGTAGGATTATCTAACAAGATGTCATTAGTAGAAGTATACTAAACATTCAACTCAATAGGAATATTTTTCAACCTCTTCGTTAGAAAAGTGAGCTCAAGATATCAAATTAGTCTCTTACTTGACTTGAGAAAGAGATATACCATCACTCCCATGGTAGACCCTAAGCCCAAGAAAATAGTTCAATATCCTAAAATCCTTTATTTCAAATTGCTAGCTCAAGTATGTCTTGAGCTCCTAGATTCCTATATCATTAATACCTATGATAATTATGTCATCAACATATAACAGCAACAAAACAATACCATGAGCAGTAGAGCAAACAAAAAAAAGAAGAGTTGTGAGGACTATAAGTGAAACCCAGTTGACTCATAGTGTTATTAAACTTAGCCAATTATGCATAGAGAGCTTGCTTGAGCCCATATAAAGCCCGACGAAGATGACAAACTTTGTATTTAAAATGTTTATATCTAGGTGAAGGCTTAATATACACTTTTTCCTATAGATCTCTATTTAGGAAGGCATTTTTAAAATCTATATAATGAATAGGCCAATGCTTAACACAGCAATGGCCTGAAGGCTACAAACAGAAGTCATATAAGTAACAAGTGCAAAAGTATCCTCATAATTGACACCATACTCCTAAGTAAAACCTTAGGCCACCAAGCAAGCCTTATGTTACTTTAAAGAGCCAACAAAATGAGTCTTGTTCTTGTAAACCCATTGGCACCCAACCAAAGTTTAACCAGGAGAAAGATCAACAAGATCCAAAGTATACATTTTTCTCTTGGGCTTGTAATTCCCTATCTATAGCTTACTTCTAGTGGGGACCACGAGAGGCCTCCTTAAAGAATATGGGTTTTTATAACTAGAGAATAATGGAAAAGAAATAGTAAGCATTAAGGTAGGAGGGAAGGTTTCTTATATGATAAGGCCAAGTATTATTAGATGATACAAGCTTAGGAGGCATGACTTATGTGGAGACAATAATAGATGTGATAGTAAGTATATCAGAACCAGGTGTGGCATTACTCATGAGTTTAATAAGGGAATTTGTGTCAAAGTTACTAGGAAACAAATCGGCTAAAATATCTATAAAAAAAGAAGGTGGAGGAGGAGAAATAGAGGAAAATTAAGTTAAGGATGAAAACATTATTTGCCCTCCCTCTTCTCAAAGTTTACCCCTAGATGTCCTTAGTAGGGGAGAGAGTGGGACCTTCTCGAGCCTAATTTACTTAGGACGTACGTTGATAGTACAGTCATCCCAAAGCCTTCCCAATGATCAAATTACTAAGGGGCAGGGCGTATCGCACACTTGCTTGGGTTCGATCCCACAACCTCTCTTACAATGCAAAGAATTGGGTAACATTAGTACCACTAGAGATACCTAGGGTATCACTCTAAGAAGAAGGAGTGCGAACAAACATCACATGTTCCTAGAAAATAACATGATGGGAGGTTTGAATGCAATGACATATGGGATTCCAATAATGATAACCCTTATGTTCAAGGTCATAATTGAGAAAACAATAGACATAGGCATGAGTTTGTAATTTGATGGTTTTATATAAGGGAGAAGAACAAAACAGATATAAGAAAAAACTTTCAAAAGACTATAATCAAGATAAATACCATGAAGGCGTTCAAAAGGAGAAATATTACCAAAAACTAGGGTAGGAACTCTATTTATGTAATAGACAGTAGTTAAGGTAGTTTCTCCCTAGAAGGGCTCAAGATCAAAAGAAGAAATAGGAAGGCCTGGATGGAATCACGAATATTGCAATGTTTTAGTTCAGCCCAACCATTTTGCTAAGAGGTGTAAGAACAATAGTATTAAGAGATCATACCCTGAGTATCAAGAAATTTGAGTAATTTAAGATTACTATATTTCAAAGCATTATCAAGAAGAAATTTTTTTATCACTTTAGAGAACTGAGTGCAAACTATGGTAGCAAATTTAACATAGATATTAGGCAACTCAAATCAACTTTTCATCATGTAAATCCAACTATAATAAGAGTAATCATTAATAAAGATCACAAAATATCATGAGCCTCCTATAGCAGGAGTGGGCATTAGGCCATAAACATCAAAATGAACTAAATCAAAAGACTTATTAGCAATAAAGTCATTCTTATTAAATGATAAAGTATGTTGTTTAGCAGTTCGACAAGAAATACAATGCAATGAGGGAACATTAACTTTAACCAAAAGATCACTAGAAAGTAAAGGACGTAAAGTAGTTAAAGATAGATGAGCGAGATGATGATGCCATAAATCAAAGGAAGTAAAGGCAAAGGTAGCATATAATCTGGGAGAAGAGACTTCGACTAAATGCATGGAATTAAGTTCAAACATTCAAAAAATCTTACATCCAATCTTGATAATCTATCTTGTTTAAGAATAAAAAATAACACAATCTCATTTGTTAAATAAAATATCATAGCCCATATAAACTAATTGGCCATCTGATATGAAATTAAAATTAATGGTGGGTACCAAATAAGTATCATGAATAGATAGAGAAAGCAAGGATATAGTAACAGTATGACTAACAAGCATTTAGGAGTTATCAACAAAGCAGTGGTATTGGGTGAAAATTGTAAAATTTAGAGCTTTTAATTTAGAATTAATAGCTAATTAAATGAGAAATTAGTTAAAAATGATTAATAAATTTAATCATATTTTTAGGTTGTTAATTAAATTTTTGGATCATATATGGCTCTAGATTGGGTTAGGGTGGAAGTCGAATCAAATCAGGTTGGATCGAGAAGAGTGAAAGTATGATTTTGCTCTTTTTATTGTGTACTGCGACATGTATGCCATGCATTTTGGTGCACAGCATGATAGATAGCATAAAAATGTGAAAGTCATTAGAAAATTAGAATTTAACACTTAGAAAATTGGGAGCACAAAGGGAGAATTAGGTATTTTTAGTTGAAATTTCAGGTACAACTT